CACACACACACACACACACACACACACACACACACACACACACGAACACACACACACTCATTTTGAAGCTGCATCTACCTTAACTTCATTCGTTGCGAGGACTTAAAAATAAATCTGATCTTTAATAAATGCTTAAAGTTTGCTGGCTTTTTGTGAAAATAAGGTTTCATTAAGTGTTTGCTCCTGTGGAATTCCTCCTCCGATTTCTACCTCTTTGAGTGCCATGTCTCTAATTTATCTTGGGTACATCAAGTTCCAGATTCAGATTTTGTTGCTGTGCTTAGACTCTGTTCAGTTGGATTCAAGCATCTAGTCCAAAATGGTGCGGCACACTTGGAGTAAAGTTTCTCTTTTTCATTTTGGATCCAGAAATGCTGTAAGTAGATATTTAAATCATCCCTTCAACAAACCATTTGATGATTAACCTGGACTAATGAAGGCAGATGATGATGATGATGATGTCTTCAGTACCTGGAGAATACAGTTGGTGGTAGCTGTTTGTGTTCTAATTCATCCACGGCATCCGTCTTGGTCATGGATTTCCATCAGGAATTTCTCTCGATGATGCCTAACCCTACCCCTCCTACATCGGTTCCCATAGAGAGGCAGTGAGCTCCCAGCAGGCACCTCCAGTAAGGCCAGCAGCGAGGCCTGGAGATGTATTCCAGACCCCAAGGCTGATAAACTCAGGCTAGACCCGGTGTGTATGAGACAGCGTGTATATGTGCGCGTCTCAGGGGTGTCATGGCCATCTTTATCAGTGCTTCTGGTCCACCGTGCTTCCCTGTGCACCAGGCCCCGGCTGTGGTCGAGGCCGGCCAGGCTCTCAGCCCCGTGACTCTCTTGTGATTTGGCAGACATTTTGATAGGAAAGAGTGAGGAGTGATAAGGACTTTGTTCAGCTGGGGTGTGTGTGTGTGTGTTTGGGGGGGGGTTCATGAGGTAGGAGCTGCTACCACTACTGTTACTGTTGAACCACCATGTTGTTTTGAGCATGCTGCTTGCTGATTGTGATATGACAAATTCCAGCCAGGTCACAGTGGTGTTGGGTGCCGTTTCATTGTTGAAACTGACTTTGTTTCCTAAATTGATTCACGCCTTCGATAAGTCATTTAGTTACTCATGCAGCTGAAGGTAAACCACTCGTTTTTTAACGTTGCATTTGGAGCTACAAATACCGGTAAGCTTGTGTTGACCTGCTCTCAATACAGCTCTTCCTGTTATTGTAAAAGTTATTTGGTGTCCAGTTAAAGCTTTCAACAGACAGAGATGTGAGAGCTTGACGTGTTTAAGATATTTAAAAGGAAATTGCTGATTTACAGTTGATGTATTTCAAGTCATCTGAGGGCAGCTAATGGCCGAATTCTCCTGACGTCTCCTGAAGTTTGTGTGTTATAGTTTCTCACGTTGTGGATTTAGCCATTTGCATTTTGGAAGGCTTACATTTGTGTGATGGAAAGAGGAGCGCTCGTGTGTGATGTTAGTGTAACTGCATCAATTTGGCTAATGGCTAAATGTTTAAACGCAGTGTGATGAAGAGCTGAAAGACTTTACAAGCGGTAACTTTTTTATTTATTTTATTGGATGAAGATGTCTGGAAAGAATGCAAGATATATAGATGTTCTTGGACCTGGCCCTCAGTTTCATAGTATGATGAACTATTGTACTGATCATGAAAGAAATGTCGTCAGTACATCGACTCTTCAGTCAACGAACATTACAGGTGAGCTGGCAGGTGAAACCTGGTCCAGCTGAGTTGGATGTTTGAGTTCTTGCATAAACCTCCAATAGGTAATGCTTTAAAAGGTTCAGGGCTGCAGAGTGTGTGTGAAAAATGCACTAAATGAATCAGTGGGGATACTTTGAATGAGCGGGGTGGTTTCGTATGTGTGCAGATTATAATCCAACTCATTAGTGGTGCAGTTACAGTAAAGCAAACCTCAGGTGGTCTAGAATCATCCATGAAGCCAAGTGACTGAGTATTCCTGCCTTTCGTACCACACTGAAGATGTTTATGTTAAGACTACTTCACTTTTCCTGTAAATATCGGCATTAATGTGTCGCAATCGATGGAGATGACATCTTTTTGTTGTCCTTTTCTTTGTTTCTTTGTATCAACATCAACTTTTGTGTTTGAAACAAAGAAAAGTAGTGTTAAACCTACATGAACCACCGCAAACATAATTTATTACAGTTAATAAAACTGGAAACACTGTTATTAGCTGTATTACCTCATGGCTGAATCTTGTGTTTCAACTATTTATTTTAGTAATAAATTTTATTTGTAGCCCCCCCCCCCCTGCCTCCCCGTTCATGTTTGGTTGCCTCTCCACCCACCCGTACCCGTTCCATTTAGGAAATCAAGAATCCTGGAAACGCCCCCATAGCTACAGTAGCTAATACTGTGCAGACTCAGGTGTGGTTTGAAAAGCAACAATTGAACACTGGCAGCACCCACCCACACACACACACACGCACACGCACAAACACACACACTGGAGTGCTCCATTAGGACAGTGTAGCATGGATGTCTCTTTTAGGTTTGGATTTTTATTTTTTTTTGCCAAACAGCAGTCCAAGTCCAGAGCTTTCTGGAGGCCCTTAGTAGAGCAGGAGAAGGGGGTGTTTGTGTAGCAGATAGATATTTGTCTGTGTCTCTTTGTGCGTCATCCTCCCCAACGGTTTGTGATCTTTCAGCCTGATATGGCTGCTCTTCTTGATGGGGCGATAGGAGGCAGGCAGGCAGCCCACTGAGGCTGGATCCCTGGGCTTATATTTTGGCGGTTGAGATGGGAGACGCGATAAAACTTGGCGGCGATCGCTGCTGCTGATATCGCAGAAAGCAAAAGAGAGGGGGGAGAGGAGGAAGGGGAGGTTGGGCAGATGGAAGGAGAGATGGAGGACGGAGGGCGCATTGTAATTACATGTGGCCGTTGTGTGCCATTTTTACCAGCGCCGCCGTTGCTGTTGGTGGTTTTTTGTTTGCGATCGGCTAGGGCTGGATGTCTAGATAATTAAAAGAAGGAGAGAGAAAAGCGAAAAGGGAAGAGCGGTTGGGAAAAAAGTGCTGTGATAAGGGGAGGGGGTTTGGAGAGGGAGTGGAGGTAGATAGGGGGAAGAAAGAGATAGAAAAAGAGTGAAAAAGTGTGCTGCTAGATGAATGTGTTGTGGTGTGTTTTTTAATGGCAGCCCAGCCAGCCTGCTCTGCCGCTCCCCCACCCTCTACCGAGAAAGATGTTTGGGGCTGATAAGGAGGCCTGCAGATGGTAGATAGATAACAACCTGCAGATCCACTCTGCTGATTGCGTGTGTGTGTGTGTGTGTGTGTGTGTGAGAGTGAGAGAACGCCTGGTTCCTATGACATCAGCGCTAGAGCTCAGAGGTCAGCATGAATAATGCGCTGCCTCCCACAGCTGAAAGCAAACCAGGACGCCTGCAGAGGCCAGACAAGGAAA